GCTGCTCCACAGGACTGCTCTTAAGTCCCTTAAAACCTGGTGGCGCTCGGTAGGTAATATGATTTGTGCATCACAGGTGGAATTTGTTGCACCCTCTCAGCTTTTCAATTATTTATTTGTAGTGCTGTTAAGCTTATCTATTGCTTCTCTCCATTTCCAGGTTTTCTCTTAGAAACAATTTTCTTAAACTGTTCCTCTGCCGTGTTTGCAATCGAAAAAACAAAACCAAAAGGGGAAAATCCCGAACGAAACCATGTCACATTATTTCTGCAGCTGGGACATTAACATTGGAAGGCCGTGGTTGCAGAGGCTGTATTCTTGCAAGCTCTTTAAGATTTCTTTTCTCGTCACGTGAAGTAAGGAACTCCCTAGTTTTTAAGAGTATTGGCTCGTGTGCGTAGATGGATTGAGTTGGACAGCAGAGCTTGTTACTACCTTTATTTGCTCTGTCTCCTTTGTCTGAGCTGAGTAGCTGGACTGGACTTGAAGTAGCTTCTGAAAAGGAGAAAAGCAAACAACCTGGGCAATAATTGCTTTGGCTCTCTGACTTTCTTTGCCATCATTGCCGAGGCAGGATGATAAGTTTATGCTGAACTCTTGTGCCCCTGAGGATGATTGCTTGTAGTGTTTTTAAGGCACGAGTACCTAGGTGTCTCTGCTCCGGGTGAAGCTCCTTTCTTTGGTTCAAACATTCATCCAGACACACACAGTATTGGGTTTTTTTTCTGCTTAGAAATGATAATAAGAGACACAAATATCCTTTACTGATTGGGAAAAGGGAAATGACATTTACATTCCGTCCATGAGAACGTGTTCTTTGACCGCCTCTTCAAGGCGCCTGGGACTGCTTGTTTCATGAATGTTTATTGAGAGCTCTTTAAATTCCTGAACCACTGTTGACTAATAAATGAATATAAATTATCTCCGAAACAGGTTCATTTAACTCTGTCTGATGGGTAGCATTTGGCCTGTCAGAATCCAAATCCTGTGACTTATTTCTGTATGGCAAATCGAGTGCTTTGTTTATTAAAATTGCTGATTTGTTCCATAATGAGACGGGCCGAGATCACTGGTACTTTTCACAATAACGATTTACAGGGCGGGTCATCGGTGTTCTCCAGCAGCAAAATGGTTTTGATTATCTGTTCATCTCCTGGTTAATTGGTGTTAGTTAGCCAGGTTTTGAAATGAGTGACTTGCATTTTGCGTTCAGTCCTGTCGGCCTTAGCGAGGCTCCACACCGGCGCAGAATTTGGCTTGCTTTATTTATGTGACTACAGACAAACATGCCTAGAGTTGGTAAGGTTGCTAATAGTTTACTAGAAGATAAAGCAAACGTCATTTGGAGCATGAAACTTGCGCTGTAAAGCTGCACCTTGCATCATGTAATATTCAACATCTTTCAACTCAGAGCTGGGAGGCTTAATTGAAGCTGTAGCTCTGTTAGTTTTATTCATGCATGACTTAAGACAAACATTGCTGAATGCCTTTTCCTGTGATGTAATTTCTTTGCGCAGAAGCTTCCACGTAGCGAGGTTTAATTACCATTTTGCGGAAGATTTAGTAAATAACAGTGAGTACAAGAAATGCAGAATTTTGTTTCCTTCGATATTAGGGGGGGTCACGGGCTAGTCATAACAATTTGTACCCCGACCCCCAAATCTGCCATACGTTATTTAGATGGATTTAATGCATTAAAATGATGCGGTGCCTGATGGTAAGAGCTGTGTTTCCTGATGGCCCGAATTTTGCATTCTGTGACCAGGATCTGATCCCAGGTCAGAGGAAGAGCAAGGTCATGCTGCCCCCCTCGGAGTCTCGGATTTGGGAGAGCGACGAAAGCCCTCAGCTCCGTCGGGTGTTAGAGCTGCTCCGTGTTTCTCTCCCTCCTCTGGTGTTATTTTGCCTCTCTCTTCAGCAGGGCTGAATGCTGGATGTGGTTGCTAATTGCAGATAATGTAGTACTGACATTTTGAAAAGTGTACATAGATGATATTCACCCACAGGATGATACTACTATCTTCAGAGATGCTGATACAGTTTTGCTGGCGTGGGCTCATTTGGTGATGAATTGCAGTAATAGCGGTTCAAGACCTACAGCGTATTAGTGAAAATGAATCCACTGAGCACTAGTCCCATGGCACTAGAACAGCACTTAAAGAACACTGATTTTCTTGAAAGGAGAAAAGTCTGATTAAGAGAGGTAGCTGCAGGTTTGCTGCTTTGTGGTTCTTTTGGATTTTTTTGTGTTGTTTTTTTTTTTACCAGCTGCACGTTATTTGTATTTGTTTCTTGATATATGCTATTGCAAGGAATTTAATATACATAAGAAAACCAGGAGAGTGCCATAAACACAGGACGCTGTTTTCTACTTTAGCAGGTGGAAGACTCCGAGTTGCTACAATAAGCAGAGATGTAGCAGTGGTGGTCCTTTTAATTTCTTCTTCTAAACTGACCTAACACCTGGTTATAATAGGCCAAAAGATCGACGTGCTAAAACAGAGGGGACACGTAATAGTTAATGTATGCAGTGATGGGTCTCTGTGGCAAAAATGTTGTCGAAACGAATGCAGTAATTGGAAAGAATTATGCTAATAAAAGGATGGGGCAGCCTATTATTGAAGTAGTTGTCTGAGGGAAATAGGAATAAAGACAGGCTTCGTGTTAATAATGTGTTGGTGCTTTGCATGGGAACAGAGTGTTCTTTCAGCTCTGGAGTGCGATGAGCTGAGAACAGCAAAATCCCAAGCATGATGCTGGACTCCTCTGGGCAATCTTTAAAATCACTCAGGTGCCAGAAAATGAGAGGGATCTGGGATACAACAATCCCTAACCCAGGAAAAAATACGCAAGTAACGCTTCTCCCTTCTTTCCTCCTCTCCCGCCCCTACAGCCTTCACGCCTGGCTGGGAGGGTCACGTTTGGGACATGAGTGTACAGAAGAGTAGCTTAAAGTGGTTCCCAGTAGAAACCCTTCCCTGTTCTCAGTAAGTTTTAAGGGAGCACCTTTGTACGTTGTGTTTAAAAAAACCCCAAACTTATCTGAGATCTCCCCTTGATTTGTAGATATTTTGCTTCCAATTTGATAAATAACCTTGACCATCGGTGTAACCCCAAGCAGTTAAGAGTTAATGTCAAAGAATCATTAGAATGTTTTAATTGTCTCTTCCACATACCATGATGAATTAGGAAAGTTTTCAAAATGTGTGATGTATCTTTAGGTGGTGATTTCACTATTGCGGGGAAACATATGGGGGGAGAAGTAAAGGAGGGCTAAAAAATATGCTCTTTTTGGTCAAATATAATCTGATCTGGTAGACTCTAATCTGCAAATCTGTGTGTCTAAGAGGCAGCAGAGAGACTCTGAAGAAGTGGAGTTTATATATAGTTCCAGTCTTCTAGGGCTGATATAGGCTACAGTTTTGTCAGGTTAACATCTGCAGAAGGATTATTTGAAGATATGAGCACTCATCGAGAGTTTGGGCAAGACCTCTTTTGTGTGGAGGGCAGGGATACAACCCTGATACTGGCTACGTTAAATGGGCCTTTTTCTGTGAGGGCAATGTAAAAGTATTTGCTGCACCTGTTGCTCTACTGTCTTTGGGGAAAAATATAAAATGGATGTATAAGTGTATGGAGGAAGCGCTGATATTTAGAGCAGATGACTTTGTGGGTAGATGTGTGCGTTCATACACACGGGATTCTCGATGATCAGGTGATGAGTTATGATGATGAAATGTTTTTCTGTATTTTGTGCCTTGACAAGCAGTATGCTACTTCTTTGCAATTCTCCAGCAGTTTCTGTAAGTTAAGAAAGTTGGAGGAATAAATTTTTCTGAATAGTAATAGTTAAAAAAAATAATAAATCTGTGAGCCTGTGTTGTTTTCAGCTAGATCAAGAAGCTTCCCAGTCTGAAGATCTAGGATTTGACGAGGTGTTCTAAAAATACCATAACCAGCTGTTTAAGATAAACTGAAAATGCTAAGGCTGTGTTGACAGCACTGTCCAACAGCTAAGACGATTGTTAATGAAAACCTTGAATTTTTAGGATTACCAAGATGATGTCTACATTCCTAGAGAAAGAGATGAATTGCAAAGCTTAAGCTGTACCTTTTGACTCAAATGAAAACGCGTGCTGCTTCAGGTAGCATGAGCTACTGCTTTGCGATTTTAAAATCCAGATCTCTTCTGACAAATGATGATGTAATTACAGAAGTATTACACACATACGCCTTGAGGTGCATTCATTGAATAACGATTAGCGAACTATGGCAAGTCTGCAGACTGTTAATGTGAGAGAGTGGTTGAACTGTCTAGGTCAAGCCTAAAGGTTGTACTGTGCTACAGTAACTTACTGGAAATGCCTTATTGATTTAATTAAAATATGCTACGGATAAACTGAGTTTGCTGCATGTAACGTGTCAATGCTGTAAAGAAGACTTTGATACTCCAAAAGTTTTAAGTTCCTTCTGAAAGAAACATCATTAAAAATTCAGAAGGTGAAAGTAAACCAGACGAGATTTATACGCCATTAATGGAATTATATTAAGAGTTGTAATCATATCCCTTTATCTTAAAGGTATGTCTCTTACAGAGTTATGATTTTTCTGCTGCTTTTCATGGCTTGTGAGGTTGTACAGGTAATACAAGTTGGTGATGTGGAAGTGTCCTTGCTAATCGTGTTTGACACAGGCTCTGTTCTGTGCTCATTAGAAAAGGTACGAGAAGAGATATTACAGGCCCTTTGTTAAATGAGTACTTAATTACATCCTAGGACAAGCAGACACCAATCTGCAAACGCTGCTGCCCAGTTTCCCTAGGACTCGCCTCTAAAGCAGCCAAACTTGGTCTGCGTGAGCAGCACCACGTGTCACGTCTTGGTGCCCCGCGGAGGAACACACAGCGGCGAGTGCCGAGTGACAGTAGCAAATGCAAGAGCAGGACTTGTTAGAAAAGGCATTTCAAACAGCTCACGCGCATTTAAGCAGTTTCTACTCACCCTTCTCTGTGAGCTTCTCCTTTCTCTAGCTCTTGTATGACACCCAACAGCACTTTTATGGTTTCCTGACTAGAGCTGATCAAATTTTCCATCATCTGAAGCTGCGCTTTCAAGTCCACAACTTCGGTGTGAGGCACGATTTGTTGGCATTCCTCGCTCACCGCGACGGCCGTCTGGCAAGGCTGGCTCTCCTCCATGGGTGAAACGTTCAGCTGAAGGGCCCGCTCGTTACATTCAGCGGCTCGGCACTGCGC